ACACTCCTCTGCCATCTTATAGTTGTCACTGCCCTGTGTTGGCATCACCCTCTGTCACCCTCACAAGTTTCTCCCCCCCCCCCCCCCCCCCCCCCACGATTTAGGATGATGCCAATGGGTGGGATGATGCCTCCAGGTCCAGGAATGCCTCCAATGATTCCGGGTGTGCCACCAGGTGACCAATACCCCGCCATTATACATCATTGATTGAGTGTAAACTGAAATACCGCTGTGGTAAACCTATGTTTCCCCTTGTCAGGTATGCCTCCTCCAGTGGTCCACCGTCCAGCCATCGCACACATGGCTCAGGCCCCCCCTGCTGCAAACATGCTGGTCAGACCTGCTGTTCCTGCTGCCACTGCCCCCTCAGCTCAGCCTGATGGCACCAAACCTCTGTTCCCCAGTGCTGGACAGGTACAATCTTATGGCACCTACCTTCTCTCTACCTTCTCCTGCTGAATACAGGATGTTTGAGTTGCCTATCTGTGCTATCACAGACTGATGTTTCTGAAAAAAACTTAAAGAAGAAAAGAAAAGATAAATTCCTTTATCTGAAGGATAATTTAATTTATGTTTCCTATTCTTTACTTGTTTTCTGTACTACAGATGGGCAGTCGGGGTGCGAGTACAAGTACAGGGTCTCCAAGTGCAGACTCAGAGTCCGCCTCCCCAAAAGCTCTGTTCACTATCACAGCAAAAGTACGCAGCTGTTTGTCGCCTCTAGTTTGAAAACCCTCAGTTTTCCAATTGGCATGCACAGAATTGTGAATACTTTGCCTGTGGCGTCTACAGGCAGATTCATTCTATTTTTTATTTTTTTTTTTTGCCCGAAGCTGTGATGATAAAATCTATATATGTGCATAGAAAATGCTCATTAAATGTTTGGTAACTCCAGCAAAACACTTTTATTTGCTTTTTCTTTTGCTAAGAATCTTCATTATAAAAACACACATGCACTTATTTGCTTTGCTAATTCGGCAAAATCAAAATCTGTCTCATTGTGCAGATTTGTAAAATGGGCTTCATCCTCAAAACTGCTGTTGACTGTGTAAGTTTTACTTTGGTCATACATTACAGTCTTACCTTCCCATGAGTGGTGTGAAGAGAATACTAAGACCCTGTTTAATAAACTTACAACACGTTGAATGATGATTATTTGATCAAAGTCTGGTAAAGAAACAAAAGTGTGAGATCAGGATATAAAAATCAAAACCGATCCACCAGGGGAAGTGGAAATACAAATTATAAAGCAATTCTGTTGCTTCGCAAAATGATATAACCAGAAATATATATTTTTTTTTTTACCTATTTCTGTATTTCAAGACAAAGTGATCATAATTAACACAAATGAGTAACCTCAAAGTATGACTCAAAGTTTCATTAAATCTCAGTCTCTCATGTGTTTTTGTCTCTCCCCCATCAGAGTCAGCAGACAGTGTCAGGGCCCCCCCATCCTCCCCCTTCTACTTCCTCTGACCTCTCAAAGCCCACATTCCCCGCCTACACTCAGGCCACTGCAGCGGTGTCCAGCCCCAGTGCTGGCAGCAGCACAGTCTCCAAACCTCCCTCTACTCTGACCAGTAAGCCTGCCACCCTCACCACCTCCAGTGCTACCAGTAAGTTGATCCACCCTGATGAGGATATCTCACTGGTAAGTAGTCGTAGCTTAAACTGTCCCTGTTAAAACTATTAATAGTAGCTGTTCAGTTTGAGAGCCTGTTAATTATAGATGAAGCTTCTGTCAATATCACAGTGAAGAAAAAAACATTTTCTGGAATTAAAGTCATTGATTCATTCTGACTGTATTAATCTATTACTCCTGGGTGGGGTACACAATTTAATTGTCAAATATTCCTCCTTGTCTTTGTTTCCTGTAGGAAGAGTTGCGAGCTCAGTTGCCCAGGTACCAGCACAGTTTTCCCCACCAAGGCCAGGCCACTGCTGCTGCCCCGTCAGCAGGTCCCATGGGTGGCATGATGCCTTCTCAGCAGCCCGGCGTGAGCCATCCCATACCAAGTATATACACTTCTGTCTCAAAAAGCATGTTTACCTTTAGCTGTTGCTCCAAACTAAGGTTTAATTCTGTCTTAAATTGTTTACATTTGATCAGGTTAGCTTTTGTTAAACATTGCAGTTTAGAGATCGTACTAAAGAATTTTGCACGACATGTTAACCTCCTGTCATCGTCAGTTTTGTGAGCTGCTTCTACCTAAACCTTTTTTGCAACTAATCTTTGATTAAAAGGTCAACAAACCTGTGTTCCTGCAGGTCAGTATGGTGGTCCACCACAGGGGATGCAAGGCTACATACCAGGAGGAATGCCTCCATATGGACAGGCCCCTCCTGTGGTTCCCCCAGGGTACCAGGGAGCCCCTATAAGGCCGCCCATGGGAATGAGACCCCCTGTCATGTCTCCTGGAGGCCGCTACTGAAGCCTGCCTTCCTCTCTTCTATAGGTTTGGACACTCAACCCTTTTCTAATGTCTTCAGCTGCTAGTAGACAAACCAGTATTGGTATTATAGAACCACAACGTACTGTGTAGTCTACTCCTGAGCTATGAAGAAGAGACACTGAATAAACAGCAATCAAAAGAGCTATAAAAGCATCACTGAGCGCATGGGAAAACATTTACACTGTACCTAACCAAGACTATTAACTGTTGTTTCAAACCATCTCTGTGGCTTTTTTTCTTCTCATGTTTCATTTAGGTGTGTAGAAGTGTAATAGATATGGTTCGTAGTGTTGTGAAGGCGCTGGAGTTACATGGGCAGTACCCACCCTTTATCAAGGCAAGTTTAATGTACAGACATTTCTGTTCTAAGCTAAACAGTGAGGCCTTCACAGCACTTAGTGCTGTTGGACTTTACGTCCCCAACTTTGTTTGGTGAGGGCTTCAAGTTACTGTTATCCATTCATTCTGTTTTGTGCTACTAATTTAATGAATAACCACCACCTTAACTTTAAATAGATGTATCGTTGAGAAAACTGTACTGTAATAAAATGTGGTCAAAATGTAAGACTCGTCATTGCGGGACGTTAGTGGGAAAAGAGACGTCACAACAGGTTTGTACTAACTAACTACACAGCGACTGTTTTGTTGTCCTGGAGATGAACAATGAAAACCTATAGAAATGCTTTATTGAGTTGGAATTACAATGTTGTTATATGTTATACTGTGACAATAAGCAGTGCATTGAAGTTCTTTAATTGATGCTCTGTACACGGCACTGGCAGACTGGCCTTTGAAACACAGAGTGCATTGTACAGCTGCATAACTTCAGGGTCACTAGTGGCTGTAGTGCTAAAACCCAGATTTCTCTTCTCCCTGTAGCAATGCCATGGGGGACTGGCTGAGGCCCTGTCTCAGTGTAGCCCTGTTTCAGCCTGAGGCAAGTCTCACCATTTTCTGTCTTCTCACTCATTACCAGGGGCCCTCACAGCTTTCATGCTGTTGGATCTCTATGTCCCCAAACTTGCAGCAAGTTTGGTGAAGGCCCTTGTTTGTGTTGTTGCGTTCAGGTACCATTTTCTCCAGGCATGTTAGCTCATGTGGATTAAAGTCTTTTTCTGCCATTGAACCTGTATCTTCATTATTTACTGGTGAGAGCATCTGGAAGCTCTTTTTTCATGTAGAAGCTCTTGATTGAAAGTGTAGAGCTTTTAATGGAACCACTCTTTTTCATATTAACTAGTCCTACAGTCCACTGCAGTTTACAGTCTCAGATACTGATGTCAAACTATTTGTGAGGTTGTCACATACATTAACAATTAATCTGTCACGTGCAGCCATATGTTCATTAAATGTGTGTTGGGAGGTTTGTAAAATGGCTTTACCACTTAATCCTGTTTGTTTCATCAGCTTTCCCTACTTGATCATTTGAATTAACTTCTTGCATGAAGGAGAATCTCTGCCAGTAACAGGTTAGTTAAAGCTGTAAGTACCACTGCCATTTTTTAATTACCGTCAACCTGTGTTTTGTGTGCGCACATAATATGACATTTAAATATTTACCTGGTTCTTTTTGAAAAACACAATTAAAGCCCACAACGATCCTTTAGCGGTTAACACTAATGGCAGCCAATTATTCACTATCTCAAGGAATGTCTCATAAATTCAATTTTTTGCTGCAAATGACTTCTATTAAAACCAATCATTTTAACATTGTACATGAGTCGCGCAGGAAGTCTTCATTGGTAAGTATGGGCTTGTAAAGATTCTCATATCTCAAGGAAAAAAGATCTTATTTACCTGCTCACAATATTTTTCTCTTTTTTTTCTACAATTCATTTATAAACACGATAGCGGACTGACTGGGAAGCTCTGGAAGAGTTTATTTAAAAACTGAAACGTAATCATGAATATTTGTTGTAGGATCTGTCCTGTGAAGCCATCTACAAAGTTTTATTTGTTTTCTGTGCCAAAGTCTGTTTACTCGTTTTCTTTGAATAAACCAGCTCCTTAACTCTAAATGTGTTTTTGTGATGTTTCCCCTCCACATTGTTGTTTCAGGGAGTCATGAGGCTGTCAAGTTTACAAACACAAAATAATAGATGTAGTGTTGAAATCCAAGTGTCACATTTTTGTTGAACAACTGCAAACTCCTCATGTGCAGAGATCTGACTCAAATCCATCACCTCGATTCTGTATTGGAACTATTTCCTCCATTTCTTAGAATATTGTCAAACATAAACAAGTATTTATGTTAAGTGGAAATAAACTATAAAATCATATAAACATATATACAGTCAAGAATTTCATTAGATATTTATATATTATCAGATCTGAGTTGTCATTCAATATTTTGTCTTATTCTTAATGATTAATTCATTTAAAAAAATGTACCAGATCAAATGATCAGTCGATAAAAAAAAAAAATGAAATGATCAACAAAATGAACAAGAAGCAAAAGTGAAATATTTATTTATTATTAAACAGAAAAAAAAAAGTTTCAGGCTAAAAAATATGGTTCACATCAAGATGAAATTGATAGACATTAACACTTTACAATTTTGTCAGACAAAAATGCTTCTTGTTGACTAACAAGCAGATTTCTTTTTATACTGGGACAATGCAGTAACACGTATCAGATCATTCAAAACAAGGGCAAACCGATCAATAACTGAAAGTAGAAATGTTAAAAATGAATATATTTGTAAATACTGTAAAAAAAAAATTAAAAAAAGGATGATAATGCAAATACAAGGAAATAAAAAGTCAAAACTGTACAACAAAAATAAAGGAAACAACTTTACTGTTCCAAAACTTCGAGGTGACTGTTCATTGTATGATATATAATTCTGTATCAGTAAGGCCATCACAAGTGTAGACGTATTTAAAAATGAAGGTTTTCATCTTATTTTGGTAGTCTTTGTAAATGGTTTATATTTATATAGGGCTTTTCTAGTCTTTCTAGTCTCTCTTTACAGGGCAGTGCCATTCACCCATACAGTGCATCTATTAGCAGAACTTTTTTGTTCTCTGAGGGGCAATTTTGAGGTTCAGTGTCTTGCAGATGGGGAAGACTGGGGATTGAACTGCTGACCTTGTGGTTGGAGGACGACCGCTATACGCCACAGCCGCCCACTGTGACCCAGAGGAACCTGTGTGGTCACATCTTGTCCCTCAAGATCATTTAACGTCAGATAGTATGTGTGTAGATTTACTCTGATTTACATTATCCCATTACCTGGACATCAAAGGCAAACACTCCATGAAATGTAAAACCCAAGTAGAAGGTTACACTTTCATTTCCATGGGGGAGGGAGGCGGAATACCGAGGTAGAACCCTCATCTTGCCGTTTTTGGTTTCTCCTTTCACAAACAAGCTTCCATTTTCAGTCCATCCTTCAACACGTTTCAGTAACTGCACTACTTGCCGACTTTTCCATACTTCCCCTCCAAGCCATTTCAGTTTTCTCTCACTTAAAGTGCCATTTACATGCTTTTCAATGGCAGTGCGGTGGACAATCTTGTTCAGACCTCTTGCCTTTGCCAGAAAGAAGTGGGTCACGATTCTGCTTTTCCTCAGAGACACATTCTGGCTCTTCTGCTCACAGAGTATCTGAAGTTGATCGATGGCTGATAAAAGGATCTTGATATCCGAAGAAACGAGTTCATCGCTTGTCTCAGGCCAAAACAGAAGTGAGAGAAGAAAGAGGGCACTGGCTGATGGCATGGTTCTCCCTTTTCTAATAAACCTCTTGCTTAGATCTTGTAGCTTTTGAAGGGACAGGAGATTTATGGACCCAGGTAGAGTACAATTCAGAGCTATCTGGCAAAATATGAAGTTTACCATTTCTGTCTCGTCAATGTCACTCCATTTCAGGTTTTCTGGGTACATGCCAATTATTGTCTCAAGTTTTTTTCCTGCTCTATGTGGGTTCTTGTCATAAAGTAATGAGAGGATGGCAGTAACATTTCCTCCACCAAGCTTGTAGGTCCTCATCTGTCTTTGGAATGAAGAAGGTTTTTCAGCCAGAGCTGCCATGTCAGCACTGTAGCTTTCAGTTGCTTGGTCACTCTCATCAGATATAACACAAAAAAATCCAGCATATACAGCACTCTTCTTTGTCAACCACTCTCTTGGATTGTAAACTTGTTCTGGATCTCTTGCATCAAGCTCTACATCCTCTTCGCTGATGTCGGTCTGAAAGTAGCTGAGGTCTTCGGAAATGCACTCAAGCGCTTGACTCAAACACTTCTGTAATCCCTTCAATTGCTGATGAAACCTCTGCCAGGGTGTTTTGACCTTTGCTGGTATGTAGTCCGTTAACAAGTACTGCATCAACTCTGATTTTCCAGTATCGTTTGAAAAAACATCTACTCCTGACAGGAACTTTAGCAGCCTGCAGCCAACATCGACTTCCCCATAGTATGAGCTGTTAAGACTGACGGTCTCTTTCTTTGGTGCTTTTTCAGAGGCTCGGAAAGCAGAAATCCCTTTGAGAGCAGTGCTTATGATTTCAATTTCCCTTTCAGGGGATGGTTCTTTTTCCTCAAGGTTGTCATACAAGTGGTAAAACCACCTCTTGTAAACTTGCCCCAGTGTGTCGAGGACAAATGTATCATATGGAAGAATAGATTTTGCTTCCTCTGCCCATTCTCTGGCCTCCTCAAACCTAAGATTTGTGTAAAGCAGCCGGGCAAGCTGTTGTGCCACAAATGCATCTTTTTCCAAAACAATGAAAGCTGCTTTCATGAGATCAACAGCTTTCTGAACATCACCTCTTTTGGTGACATGCTCAATGAGGGGTGAAAAAGTTGTGTCTTCAGGATCTCCTCTGCTCTTTTTGTGACGTCTGATGAAAAGAGCCTTGATGAACTTCTGGAATGTATCCCTGTCAAACCTGTGATGGATCAGTACCTTGTCAGTGATGAGATCCATGGCAATATCACTCTGAGGCTTATGTGCAGACAGCTGAGTCAGAATTTCCTTTGCCACTAGTGGATGAATGATCCTTATTGATGAGATGTGTGTGTCTTCTTCCTTAAGGTGGATGAAAATAAGCTTTGCTTCTCCACTGAGTTGACTCACAAATGAATGGTACTGGGTTTCCCTGTGGGTAGCTATGCCGAGGCATGCTTCACAGTGTGACACTGATATGTATGAGTCTTTAACATAGCAATTCAGGAGAGCCACAAATCTGATGAGGCGAGTGATAAGTGATGAATGATCAATGTTATCTAAAAGGTTTTTCACAAAGCCTTTAATGTAAGTTGGCTCGAACTCTTCGCTCATCAGAACGAACGTTAGGATGAAGTCTGCTTGAAACTGCAGTTTAAGCTGCTTAAGCTTTTCTGAGAACAAAGGTTTCTCTATGTTTGACAGCTGGTGTCTGACTGCTACTGTTTGAGATGCTGATGCTCGGCACATTCTCTCAGGATCATTTGATCTGTTGCAGATGAGCAGGATAAAGCACAACACAGATGGATTTATTTTCTTCGTTGCAATGACATTTCCAAGTTCCCGTCTCAGATCATCTATGTAATCGGCATTTTTGTCCTCCAAGAGCAAGAGCACTGGCAGACAGTCGTTTTTATCTCTCTCGTCGTGTTCCCTCAGTGTCACTGCATGCTCACACACGGTTGTGATTTCCTTGCTCTGTCTTACAACTGCACATCGTATTTTTTCTCTCCAACTCCAGAGGATCTGTCGTGCCACAGTACTACCACCACTGCCAGGATGATGGTATATGTTCACGCTCTCAACGGGACGTATGGCTCTGCTACGATGTACTATCTTGTCCAGGATTGTGTTTGCTTCTTTGTAGGCATCCCTCTTTATAATGGCCCCACACTTGTGTTTGTCAGCAAGCCAAAAGTGAATCCAATCTATCTTTCCACCCCGATAGAAGTAAGTCTCAATTTGTTGGATTTCATTTTCACTCATAACCTCCAGTTTTGTGTCGTCACACTGGTCCACACTGATGCTTTCCAAAGAATCCAGCCTGGCCTCGTCAACTGACTTAAGGAAGCATAGCCCTCCGTTCAAGACTGGTAATGTCCTTGTGGGTTTATTCTTTGAGAGCTGAATGCTTTGAACTGTTGCATCCACGTGACTCAGTGGCATTTCTACAATGCTGATTTCTTTGAGTGTTGACATGTCACAGGACAGCTGGGCGAGACTGGACCATTTTTTGTAGTTTTCCTTAGACTCTGATATGACAGTCAAAAAGTCATGCCCATTCATCTCTGCAAAGAATTCATGGAAGGTATCAACAATCGGCTGCTCAACATCAGACATGAGAAGGAAGAGGACAACAAATGATCCCCTGGGAAGAATTTCATTGCAGATGAGTGATATCGCTTTCTTCAGTTTCTTTTTTCTTGTTTTTATCCAGGTTTTTTCATCACAGGTTTGGTCCCCACCCGGGAAGTTGGTTCTCCCATTGCAGAAAATCCAGCTTGTTCTCTCAAAAAGCTGTAAAGATTTGATGAAATCTGTAGTTCCCATACTGCTTTCTTTTGAGTAGTCAGCAAGAAAGTGAAGGTTTACAGCCTTCTGTTTCTTAAATTGACCACATAGACCAGATGTCTTTGAATCAGGGTCAAAATCAAACACACAGAATAGATGCATGGGAAGCAAAAAGCTGATACTGTCGAGATGCTCCGGCTGAAATTTGTTTGTAACAACTATGTAAGACAGAGAGTTGTCCATGTGGGTTTTTCCACACGTTAAGAGGATGGTGAGCTTCCTCTTTTGATCCTCTCCTAAGTCCACAGCCGTTTGACTGCTGGAAGATTCTGCCTCCTCTCTCTGTTGGTCTTTCTCTCTCAGTCCTTGGATGAAACGAACAAGGTTGTCCTGAGGTATGCGTGATGTGTTTGCTCCTACTCTGCACAAGGGCACTTTCTCTTCACATTTGACTTTGTTGTCCTTCTCAGAGAAATTTGGGACACCAACAGAGTAAAAATTATCTTTTACAATGCTTGCTTCTGGGACAACATCATATTCAATGACCCATGTTTTCTCAGTGTTTTCCTTGTCCAGCACCTCAATGAATCGAGGGTTCTTTATGCAATGCCTGGCATCACATTGTTGACTCGAATCATTGAAGCATTTTTCAATGTAGTCTAAGGCGTCCACAAAGTCTTCCTGATTTTTGATAGGTATCCCTATGATTTCTCCATGCTTGTGAGTACCTCTGACTTTATCCATAATGCCAAAATGAATTGTCCCATTGGTTCTCATATTCATGCACGCACATGCAAATCTCAATACCTCTTTGGCTACTTTTGTTTTCAGCCTTATTGAGTCTAGATTGTGTGCAATCTCAAGTGATTTATATTCATGACATGGAACTATCATGTCTTCAATTCCTGTCTCTGGTGGAAGAACATTGTGCTTTACATACCTGCAGTCCTTTTCATGCTGATCAAATTTTCGATACTCACAGAAAGACAAATCTACCTCTGTTGACTCTGACCTGTCGTGTGTTACAGGGGTATTCAGTGTCTCTGCTCCATCACCAGGGTCCTGTGAACCAACGTTTGGTTGTCTTGAATCACACACATTTCCGGTTTTGTCACCTTTACCTCTACCACACGAATCACTTTTAGTTTTTGTTTTGTGCTGTTCGGACTTTACAAGTTCATCTTTTTTCTTCAGCAGATGCTCAATTTGGCCACTTTTCATTCCTATTGTAGTGCTGAGGTAGTCCTTCTGTAGAGATGTGAGGACTGGTCCTGTCACCTCCTCATCCTCCAGTTTTTTTATGTACATTTCTTTTATTCCAATGCATCTCAACCAGGAGCTGACGTGAGATTCTGTCCAGCGGTCGTAGGGCAGCTCACGCCATTCTGTGAAATAAAATAATGAAATGATGTGGTTTAATATAACACTTAAATGTGACAAACCTGTAATTATATGGGATATACAGTATCTGGGACTTTGTATTATTTATGAATAGTCACAAAGAGACTTAATGTCAGGTCTTTTCATCAGTGACACGATTTTCATTACTTGTTGGGTTAAATGGAGACTTTTTTTCAAAATAGGTATTCGGTTTGCATTTCAACTGCAAAAAGTTAAAAGGATCATCTGGGTCCACAAGTGTGAAATAACTAAGTGGAAGAAATCAGTAAACCTGTAAACTATTAAAAGAAACACAAAATAATAAATTCTATTACAGTATAATAATATTTAATATTGAATTACCCTTACAGTATGATTATGTCACAACTATGTTTTGAAGTGGATTTATTTGGGATTTTCTGGATTTCATTTTCTATACCAGCCCTTATTTTACTGTTGTGATGTGGTGTAACATTTCATACTCACCCATCTCTGAGGATCTGCTTTCCATTTTTATGGCTCTTCCTATGGACGGTAAAAAATGAAGCTTTAGTGTTTGTTTTAACTTTGTTTTGTGAAGCATTGACATATACACACTATAAAAATAACATTTACTATGTGCACCACGAGACTTGAGCACTTGTGTTATTGTGGATCAGGTATCAGTCTTTCTGTGTCTCTGTTGGTGACAAAGCAGCTTTAGCACATCTTCCCTTCTTCATATTATGTTTGAAAGTTACATGTTTCATGTCTTGAGTCAATTCAATTTTGCACAGTTGTCTGATGTAATTATGTATTTTTTCATTCGTTATGAAAAATATAACTGGAAAGGTGAGGAGTAAATTCATAATTCACAAGAGCTATGGAATTAAGTCATTGTGTCCCTATTAACTTCAGCTGTCTGATCAGGACTTATAGGGTTGGTTAATATATAGATACTGTTAGAAAGGTTAGAGAGTGAGGATGGAAATGTGTGTCACATCTCAAAAGACTGGTTAGGGTCTGGATGTAAGTAGGTGGACACGTATCAACACGGAAACAACACGGGTGTTAAATCATACAGAGACAAAGTAAACCAACTTGGGCTGTAGTCTTAAAGAATTTTCAAGAATAAGTAGCACACTGACATCTTCCTGGACCTTAGAGACATTTGCAGGTACATTTCCATGATGTTTACTTTTCTTATTATAAATCACAGAGACATTAACAGTGCACTTTACCCCAGTGAACACTTGCAGGACAGCTGTGTACGTTAGATAAGAGATAAGAGACTTTAGCATGAAAAATAATGTGGATAGTTGTTCAAAGTCTGAGCTCATCCCACACAGGGAGACAGCTTTGTTTTACAAAGAGTACATTTTCCAGTAATAATTCTACATATACAAAAGCACAAGAGCAGAAAAGTTAAAACTGTTAGTTTAAACGTTTAAAAATCTTAATGAACTGTTCACAGAAAGAAAGTGTTAATCTTCAGTTGTTGAGCATCATCCATACTTACCAGGTCCATGTGTTTTAATCTTACTGAGCAAAGTGTCCCACAGTTCCCTGTTAATAAAAAATAAATAAAATAAACAAACTTTTCACCTTTTTGAAAACATGTATCTTTCAGACAAATCCACTTTTCTCTTCCAGAAAGTGGAAGTAGGGAAAGACCAGATCTCACCAGATGGCACAGAGATCTTCATTTTTTTTATTCTGTGGCTTCCTGAGAATTGGTTGAAATTTGACACTTGCTGGAAAAAAATCCCAATCTTGTTTCGTGTCCTGAGTATTTGTAGGCCACACAAGCGCAGCAGAATAATCAAGCAAACATAATGCTCAAGAAACTACGTAATCATTAAGGTACTTTCACCATCCATTGTTATTTACAACTGAAGCTGCAACAATGCTGCTTTACACTTATCCACAACAAACTAATACAAATGTATAAATATTACTACCAGAGTGTCCTATCACTCATGCATTACTATGTAAAATGTTGACTTTGCCTTGAACCTCATCTGATTTCTACAAGGCTTATATCTAGCTTGAAAAATAGTTTTTACTTAATACTTAATAATAATCATATTTAAAGAGCCAGAGACTGAACATCAGGAAAACATGTAAAACTATAATTCTTCTGCCCACAAACTGATTCTGTCTTTCACCCCACACTCCGTTGACACAGTTTTCTTCTCAGGTTTCATTTCACCCATTTCACGTGGGTGTGTCTTCACCCTGATTTAATATCTGATTCTATATTTGCCTCAGTCTGACAGAGGCTGGATACTGTAGAACTTCATTGGAGCAAATAACTTTAAAAGAACTCAGACCATCGACTATAAAATCCGACTTTCTCTGATTCCTTACAGCTCAACTGCTCGCTCGTCAATATCCTGGTTTAGTTTGTGCACATACAGGAAGTAGCATTAAACTTCTCTCTTTTGTTTAAGGTCACTTCTAAATTAATCCGAACAACAAATTAACAACAATTACACAAAAAAGTGAAGGGTTTCAGATTTCAGCTCATTGCACTTACCAGTATTCTCCTCTCGAAGACAGACACAATTTCCTTGTTGGTGCAGTTGTGGGTTTGTTCCCTGCAAAGCTAATGCACTAGTAGAGGCGTGTCTCTGCTTTCTGATTTGATCCTGAAGCTGGAAATATTTGGTTGCTGGTAAATCCCCCTTTGGCTGTGACCAATCAGATCCTAACTCTGTCCTGAAGTTGGTCAATATGAGCTCAAGTTACACAGACTGAGTCACTCAGCCAAACAGAAACCTAGAAATGTAAAGGAATAGAAACTGAGCAGGAAATCGAAAGTAAGACTCAAGACGGAACACATTGTAGATGAGGACAATGTTTGAAATAATTATTTGTATGTGCATTTTATGGACATTTATATTCAACATTAAGCTGCTTCCAATGGCTGAAACGCTCAGGACTGTATTCTGCTGCAATAAGTTTGTTCTCCAGTTTGCCTTTTAAAAGAAACGTTGATCCAATCAGGGAGTTCTCTCAAACAGAAAACTCATCTAAATATAAAAGTAAACAACGTTAATAATCAAACACTTTGATTCATGCATGTGTGAGGGCTGACATGTAGGGTGAGAGCACTGCCCTCTAGGGTTAGATGGAGTTTTCCTGCCTTTATAAGGACAGGTGTGGGTAATCATAGTCTCTTTGCCTGAATCCTGGTAGATGTGGGGGAGGACTGCTTGGTGTGTGCAGGTAAGGGAGATCTGGGGAGAAACACAGCTGGTATGGTCTGAGCTGAAATCTAATGAGGTTTCTTGTATATCTAGTTGTAGTGAAGTTGTGTCCCGATTGATCCTGACTGATCATCTATCACTGATAACAAAATAACTGAATCCTTTAGGAAACTCAGCCCTTGTCTCCCACTCACATGAGCCAGAGTAGTCTGCTGACCAACCTTCCAGGTGTCTCCTTTACAGTTTTTCTGAATTGCTAAAACAATAATTTCTGTTGTGTGAATCAATTGCTCAGTTGTCTAAACTCATTCACTGAATTGAGCATCATTTTTGACAAAACCATAAACTATCTTCACCTAGTAAAACATTATTTGCAGATCTCAGTCCTTCCTTTTGCAAAAATCTAAACACATTCTCATGCAATAAAACACAGTTGTCACTGTGATGCACTTGTGATGCTTAATGGTAAAAACCAGTGGCAAAATATGAACACAAATGAAACACATGAATCATACATTGAACACAACGATTCAAAATTGATCACACTTGTTTCTCATCATGTCATGACAACATGCCAACCAATATAAGTTCAGAGTGCAAGCAGGTTGGTCCTGCAAACTCATGACAACAATGGATCAGAGACACAGAGGACAAGTGCGTGTAAGAGGAGGTAGAGGCGGATAGGGCTGGGTCAGGCCACAGCACGTCATCCACATCACACAATATATTTGCCCTTGCCAGGCAACGGGGGAAAAAACCCTAGTGTGCCGTACCCAGCCCTGACACATCTCACCAATGTCATCACAGGCTAGTTCCATGGCCTCAAGAAGATTACAGTAAGCCTGGTGTAGGGCTGTCGCTCGTACACCTTCCATCTCCAAGTGGACAAAAACTCCTCTATTGCATTGAGGAAGGGAGAGTACGGTGGCAAGTATAGGTTACTGTAATGATATTCTGATTCATATTGAACCATTCTCTGACTTGGACAGCGCGGTGAAAACTAACATTGTCCCAAATTATAACATAAATAGGCCGCTCCATCATCTCATGTTCCTGCTGTTCATTGCAGACAACACATCTCTAAGAACACCAAGAAAGGTGAGAAGGTGCTGGGTGTTACAGTATATGGCCTGAGTGGCATGATGGTGAAGAACACCCCGGTTGCTTATAGCAGCACACAGTGTTATATAACTGTGGCACCATCAGAAATTGCCTTTCTTCGTCTTTCTCTCCCTCCTCTTCCTCTGCCTCCTTCTTGTCCTCCGCCTCTACCTCCTCTTACACAGCTTGCAGGACCAACCTGCTTGCACTCTGAACTTATATTGGTTGGCATGTTGTCATGACATGATGAGAAACAAGTGTGATCAATTTTGAATCGTTGTGTTCAATGTATGAGTCATGTGTTTCACTTGTGTTCATATTTTGCCACTGGTTTTTACCATTAAGCATCACAAGTGCATCACAGTGACAACTGTGTTTTATTGCATGAGAATGTGTTTAGCTTTTTGCAAAAGGAAGGACTGAGATCTGCAAATAATGTTTTACTAGGTGAAGATAGTTTATGGTTTTGTCAAAATGATGCTCAATTCAGTAAATGAGTTTAGACAACTGAGCAATTGATTCACACAACAGGAATTAGTGTTTTAGCAATCAGAGGTAATCCTGTAATCAGGGCCCCAGAGTGAGCAAGGTAATCTAAACTGGTGTGGTCGTGTAGAGGGGTAAATCCCGTGTAAGTATTTTTACCAGTTGATACAAATTATATTGACCATGTTTTCCCCCATTGCAGACTAAATGCCAGACTGCTGCTTTGCCTGAACCTTTTCACCTATATCGTTGGGTTTACTTGATCTATGTTAAACTGGGCTTAATCCTAGTTCTTGTGTGAATAGTCAATGATTTGTATATTGTTTGACAACTAACTGCTATACTGTCCATAGTTAGATTCATTCATGTCTTTCTCACCTCTGTGAAGCTCAATCCATTGAAATGAATTGGTTTTATTCCTTTATAGGCAGTGGGACAAGCTGCAGGGAGTATGTGTGGGATCCACCTACTTGTATGCAGTGTGGTAATGGTGGTGGTCACTTGAGTGGCTTGTAGATTTGTTTCCCCTTGCAGTGTAAGTTGTAGTGTTAGTGATCACTGTGTTCACGTGGTGGTAACTATTGGGGTCTGCGATAGAATCTCCCTGTGGTAAGTACCCTGCCTACTTACTAGCTACTATCAAATGATTTGATACTGTAGTTTGTATTTTTAGCTGTTAATGGCCTTAGCTATTTATTAGTATTAAATAAAAGGTTTGGTCTTAAACTTATTGTCTTCTCTTTCTCTCAGGAATTCCAACAACAAATCTATTTTTAAATAAATATTCTAGTTGTGGACTGAATGCACGTTGCCTGCTCTCCTTGAACCCTCAATGTTGTATTGTGTCCACACGTCCCATAGTTATATAACCATTTCATTTGTCTTGAATACTGTGTCAGGCCACACCTGTGCAGCAGATTTACCTCCAATTGTTCTTTCATGACAGATTCTGTCACAGCACTGACACACACCCACATTCCCATCCACATTGTTCCACCTGAAGAGAAAGGAACACTTCATCACACATTTTGTCTCACACATGAAATACACACACGGTTGTTGTGAGATGCAAAGTTTTATTTTCAGACTTACAAATTTAGTTTTCCGGCTTTTCTCAGTTTTGTGTGTAGGAATAAATATCTGCAGGTTTATTGAATTACTTTTTTGACACAATCGCTCTTTACCTCTGGGTTATGTTCACACCCCTGTCTGTCTGTTGTTGTTTAGAAGACTGGACAGGTTACAACCAAACTGGGTGGAAGGATGTGTTGTACTTTATGTCACTGCAGTAAAACTAGTCAGCTTGAAGTAAAAATATTTAAGGCTAAAACTTCACTTATCCCCTGAGATCAATTAAAGGTACAGTGTGTAGAATTTTGTGATAGCCAGTATCGAAATTCCATGTTGCAGCTGAACACCCCTCACCTCACCCTCTCTTTCCAAACATGAAAAGAAACTGTGGTAGCTTCAGTTGTCATAAAAACTCAAAAGGTGTTTAGTTTGTCCAGTCTGGACTAATGTAACAAACATGGCGGCCTCCGTAGAGAGGGTCCCCTCGATGTAAATATAAAGTATTTGAATATGAAGGGCCTTTTCTGGGGTAAAGAAAATTCATACAATTTAGATTAAATGAACTAGTGAAAACATCACTAGTTCATTTAATCTACATTATTCTACATTAAATTTCTGCCAATAGTTTTCTTTCATCAAAATCTTACACACTGGACTTTTAAGTGTTTCTGATTCTGATGTTCTGAATTTAGAAGCATGTTTTTAAAGATGCATCTTAAAGTATAAAGTATATTAGGTTCATATTAATCCTCAGCCAGACTTGTAGGACAACAGAACAACCTGTTCTTTTACTGCAAAACACACCTTGAATGTGTTGTTGATGGGGCTGCTCTTCCACATTTCTGCTAGCTCTCAGTTGGCGAGTGAATCTGAAATGTAGGACACCACAGCAGTGTCACGAAACCTTGTAGCATTTCCAAACCTTTTAAATCAAGAGGTTCACTCACTGAGTTTCTGGGATCATGGTGAAACAGGAAGGCATTGAGCTGCAGTCAAAGTGAATCAGGCCTCATTCTGGGTTTGAACCGTGTGTTTGATTCTCCCTCTTTTCCATCAGTGACACACCTGAGAGAGAATTTCCTCAGAAGTCATTGACTCTCTCATGGACAAATTCAAAAACCAATTTGTCTTTGGTGATGTGCACTGAGCTGCTCTTACCCATGGTTTTCAATGAAGTAGTATCTGGGGACTGATGCTGGCTCAGAAGTCAGAGTTGCTACACAGCTGTCGATGAAGAGTCGTCTTTGTCCTGCATGAGGACCAGAGTAGGATGCCTCGAGCTGCAGGAGGTCTCCAAGGGAGAAGACGGTGGAGAGCATCTCTCCTGTCCAGTTGTCTACATGGGTAATTCTCCTCATTATAACCGTGAGTGGGATTCCAGTGCCTGAAAGTGAAAGTGAAAATATAAGTATTGCCTATAAAAGCATCTTGTCCTCCTTGTTGCAGAGTCTCTTCTTCCAGAGCCACATAAGCAAAGGTAAGGACTTCCATCTTTCTGTTACTATTGAACTGAATTGAATAACTGTTATTTTAGTTCAGTATTTTATTGCCATGGATTTTTGTGCAGCCCTTTGTAACCTTGTTTAGATAAGTGCTATACAAATAAAGTTAGTGTTAAAGTTATTATTATTACCCTGTGACTGTCAAGCTAAAGCTAATTTCTTTACTGCATCAAGTGAATAAACAGCACAAACCCATGAGGTCATTTTTCTCACATAACAAAA